TTCATGCCTGTGCCACCTTTTGGGTGGCTTCATCTTCATCTTAACACATTCACAAGGGAAACATCTCCCGTCATGCAGGGTGCATTCGCACCTCCACAGATCTCCAGTATCATCTCTTGATACTGGTAATGGCTTAAAAAATGGCCACCACTTACGGGCTATTTATGCCCGTGCCACCTTTTGGGTTGCTTCATCTTCATCTTAACACATTCATAAGGGAGACATCTCCCGTCATGCAGGGTGCATTCGCACCTCCACAGATCTCCAGTATCAGCTCTTGATACTGGTAATGGCTTAAAAGGGCCACCACTTACGGGCTATTCATGCCCGTGCCACCTTTTGGGTGGCTTAATCTTCATCAATCATCGTCTGCCAGCGTCAGTTTCTTCCAGGCTGCAGGCTTACAGCGGCCAGCCTGAGCACAGTCCGCATGCCTCTGATTGATACAGATTAAGCCACCCAAAAGGTGGCACGGGCATGAATAGCCCGTAAGTGGTGGCCTTTTGGAGTCATTACCAGTATCAAGAGCCGATACTGGAGACCTGTAGAGGTGCGAGTGCACCCTGCGTAACGGATGTCTCCCGTCGGAACGCACTGCAGCGTTCCGCGTTTTAAGTTTAGATTTAGGAAAGACTTGGATAAATACTGGTTCGGTAACAGGGTTGTTGATTTGTGGAACCAATTACCACATAACGTGGTGGAGTCCCTCGATTGTTTCAAAAGTGGGTTGGACATGTATAGGAGTGGGATTGGGTGGTTATAATAGCTGCTGCCTCGTATGGGCCAACAGGCCTCCTGCAGTTAAAAATAAATTTATGTTCTTGTGTTCTTATGATGCAAATGGGGTCTAAATTCAGAGGGGACATTGGCATATACAGTATGCTGCTCCAAGAGGCAGGAAAGCAAGTCAAAGCTACATATACCAGTCCAAGGGCAGTGCAAGCCATGACAAGGCAGCACCCACAAAGCCGTGTATAGTTAATACTAAACAAGTAATGCATGATGAAGATGACATAACATCAATGCACACTATGCTACCATCTCTTTGTTATAGAATGAATTCTTTGACCAGATGCTTACCCAGAAAAGTCTTCAGTTGGAGACATACAGGTTCTCCCACTGTACAATATAAAGGATAATAAAGCCATTTTTACAAAAAATAATTTTACTACTTCAAAACTCACATAATTTGACAATTACTCTTTCTATCTCTTTTTTATGCATTTTAAAATAACCCGCAGAGGAGCATGTAACATACTGAAGAACTGCAGTCTTGAGTCAATATGTAATAAACTGGCAGAGAAACTGCAGTAGGTATATAATTCACAATATTGGAGAATACCATACTAACAAAATACTGTGATCATATAAAGCTGTCTGATACAAAATGGATATAGTACCTTGAAGTGTGAGGGAAGTCCAATTTTAATGTAGATGACCATACAAAAAGAAAGCAAAAGGGAATACCAAGGTGAGGTGGCTCTGTGATTGGCCTCAATTTACGCTATACGTCTGACAATCGTCTTCAATTATTCTTACAAAAAATTCTATTAAGGTGATTTACAAATATTTCTAAGAAATTTTCACCACAAACTAGAAACACAGTTTAGAAATGGTTGTCAGGTCTCATGTGTTATATATGGTAGGCTTTCACACACAATAAACTACTTCAACTTTGTTCAAGTCTGCTAGCTTGGGTTTTGGATATAAAAATGTATTATACTCTGGCCTTGTCACAAAATAATGAGTGAATATATATATATTTATATATATATAATACTACTCGAATACTAGGTACACCTTATTGAAGCTCACTTCTGAAGTTCAGTACACATTTCACTGTGATACATCCAAGGGGTATTTGCTGGCATTACTATCACTGCTAGAAAATATAGTGTGTAAATACAAAAACTGAAATTTTTAACACTTGCTGAACTGCTGTTTAAACTGGACAGCTTATACAGACTCAACAAAATTCATCACCTGTGTTGATACACACAACCAGGTGAGTAGCAGCACCAGTGTGTGGTGACCCCCACTAGGATTAGCCCGCACTGGGGGTTAGCCCACGCTGGGGGTTAGCCCACGCTGGGGTTAGCCCACGCTGGGGTTAACCCATGCTGGGGCTAGCCCACACTGGGGTTAGCCCACACTGGGGTTAGCCCACGCTGGGGCTAGCTCACACTAGGGTTAGCCCACACTGGGGCTAGCCCACACTGGTGTTAGCCCACACTGGGGCTAGCCCACGCTGGGGTGAGCCCACGCTGGGGTGAGCCCACGCTGGGGTGAGCCCACGGTGGGGCTAACCCAAGCTGGGGCTAACCCACGTTGGGGTTAGCCCACACTGGGGGTTAGCATCGTTACATTCCGGACAATCCATCTAACAGTTTCCAAAAGAAGATAGTCTTAAGATGCTTCATTAAAAACATAGTTCATGTTCTTCCTTCATATTCTATTTAAAAAAAAATCACTCCAATTCAATGTGGCTGCATTTAAAATGTTTATAACACTAAATCATATTTAACAAATAAGGCAATAAAAATAAGCAATGAAACAAAAGCTGAAATAAAGGCCATCTTTGATGTAATGTTGTGCTAGCAATATAAACAATATTTAAAAATACAATATATATCACCAACCTTCTTGCCTTATAAATCAAAGTATGAAGTACAGTACAAGTTTCAAGAACTTCAGTTAACCTGCAGTAGTGCAAAGTAAGACGTTTGGCCGACTGCTCAGAGGCTCACCAAAACTGGGTACTCTAGGAGTCTTCGTAATGAACACAGGCTCGCACATCATTAATGTAACCTCACTTTACAATCTACAAACCACATGATTAATCTAAACCGTGGCATCCTACCCAACTTGTGTAACAGTTACACCATAAATACTAAGACTCGGTCATCAAGGTTCCGGTTGAACCAGTTCTCGTGTAAATTAACTACTAGTATGTTGCATGTAACTAAAAACTGATGATGTAGAATATAATGATTAAGAACTCTTTTGGGTAAAGCCCTTGATGGATATTTACCGCATAACAGCATCACAATATCCAAACATCAATTATTATAAAATTAAAAATACTGACTTTTGGCCAACTAGTCCATATTTACTAATAAGTGATGGATACATCCCATGACATTTAATAAACCTTATGCCAAAACCCTCAGATGAGATGTGGATATTAAATGAATAAAATTCTGATCTGTATGATCAGATTTTGTTTCACTAAGATTATCAAGATTCTGGCTATCCAGTTCAACGACAACTGAGGAATGGGGGTGTAAATCACTTCTACATTGTCTTGGAATGATTAACATTAAATAAGAATAGATAAAACTATATTGCATTTCTATATCCAGCAACTTCACTTGACCTGAAACTTTCTCTACCAGATCCACTACTTTCAAATTCTATGAATAGTTCAGTGTTATTCCTCTTCAGACATCAAGTTAACACTCCAGCTGAGGGGGGAAATCTCACAGTATACTGTATAATGCCCTCACTTCTATCTGTTATGGCTTAGCGCTCTCTTAATATTTACATCTGTTATTCGTTTACAAACTTATTATTGATAAATTTAAATTCCTGCTCAGATTCCTGTTGTGGTAGTATATTATATGGTATTATCAGAGGAACGTTACAAAAATAGTCCATAGATGGGTCAAACGGTGCTATAAACCTCAACATTGATATGGGAATGGAAGATAGAACCGTGCCATAAGAAATTAAGCTTTCTCATCTGCTCTTGAGAAAACAAACAGTGAATGTAGATTGGTTACTACTATACTTTCGTCTGTTACAGTGTAAGTCATCAAGTTTCTTGTTAGAGAGAAGAAAAACAAATGATGTTCAGTTTTGTTGACATGTTCAACAATAAACCTATCCCCTAATTATGGACTCTGTACACATGCCACAATAACTTTAGACTTGGTATTCACACTCAAATTACAAATAGTAGAGCTAAATTTAGTATGAATGGCCAATGCATCACATTGTGTCTCAAGCATTTACCCATCTGTTGCATTACTCTTAAATCAAATACCGATACGATAAACGGGCTGCAACTTTGATTGGTCAAATAAATATTTTCCAGCATTATACTTTAAAATTGTATAAAACTAATTTTCTTTAATGGCAGAGCAATTTTTTTTGTTTAATTCAGTAAATTATGGGAAAATATAATATCAGAATACATTGTGAAATGGCTTTATGGGGTGGATCCCAATCCCTTATTCAAAAGGCCTTATGGGTGAATCTCATTGTCTTTTTAAATCATTAGGATATCCATCATAATTTACCAGAATATTGCCATACGAAAACACTTACACATTAACACCGGTAACAAAATGTTTGGAGCTGAAATATATTCAAATTGTGAAGCTAGTTTTAAGCTGTTATAGACTAAGAACACTACACATATTGCACTCGTCTCTTCCCATCAACTGGCAACTGTCAAGTTTATGGACTAGCGCTCCTCATGAGCACCTACAAGGTACCTTCATCATCAAAACTCAATTCTGATATGATATCTACAGTGTAACATGAAAGGTTCTGTACAGCACAATATGTATTGAATTGAAAATGTACTGTATTAGAATGCAGAAATTCCTTCTGATTATTTTCAGATTTATTTAAATATTAAAAACAAATTTATAACTGCACTACTGGGATACATATTACAGTAATTTTGAACATAAAAGTATAAACAAGCAACTCTTACACAAAAACATCTTCACCAATTCAAATATCAATACAGTACATTTAATTTGACAAAGTTCAAAGATTCTCAGATATGAGCCTACATCAGCTGATCTCTGCCAAAATGAGTGACAACATTGGGCTAGAGAAAACAGACAGTTTGCAGTGTTAGCAGATCAGTAGAGTCTATTCATCATTTGTGGCCCTGGTTTACAAGAACATACAACTATCAACAGGTGAAGTGGCATACACACACTCGTTGCCCATGGTTCAACACCAGCAGTACTGTAGCTTCCTACCTTTATCGCACATGGCTACTTTTCTCCTACAGCTCATACATAGAGAGAGAGAGACGAAGAAATAAGGAGGGGAGCCTGAATTAGCTTAGCACCAATAGATTCTATCACTACATACACCAAAACACAGTGGCACAAATTGGAAGTAGCAATAATTCTTTCTTTCTGGTACTTCCAGCAAGGGCCTTGATAAAAAAATAATAATAATATACAGTACATATATAATGTAAATGAGACAGACACACAGAGAGAATGTGAGGGGGGGACCAGGAGGGGGGAGGGAGGAAGACAGACTCCTAGGAGGTACAGGTTTCTTTGAAATTTCAATTTGACCACTTGAAGAGTTAAGTTCAGTCATAAGAGAAGCAGCAGCCATTCCATATCGAGTCTGAGGCCTCCCATAAGACTACATGCAGATGGGAATACTACACCAATCTACTGTACATCAAGACATTTTACGAGAAAATATCTAAAACTGCAACAAGAAGCAATATCTATTAACAACAATAGTTCAGTAATAAATAAATAATAAAAAAGTATAGCAAGAGCTGTACACCAACAGTTTAACACTGCCCAAAACATGCTATCTGAGTACCTCTCGCCCCCCTCCACCTATATGTCATCTAGATACCTCTTGCCCTCATACATGCCATCTACGTAGTTCTTGCTCCCATACATGCCATCTACATAGTTCTTGCCCTCATACATGCCATCTACATAGTTCTTGCCCTCATACATGCCATCTATGTAGTTCTTGCTCCCATACATGCCATCTACATAGTTCTTGCCCCCATACATGCCATCTACGTAGTTCTTGCCCCCATACATGCCAAATAGGTAGTTCTTGCTCCCATACATGCCATCTACATAGTTCTTGCCCCCATACATACCATCTAGGTAATTCTTGCCCCCATACATGCCATCTAGATACCACTTGCCCCCATACATGCCATCTAGATACCACTTGCCTCCATACATACCATCTAGATACCACTTGCCCCCATACATGCCATCTAGATACCACTTGCCTCCATACATACCATCTAGATACCACTTGCCCCCATACATGCCCATCTAGGTACCTCTCGCCCCCATACATGCCATCTAAGTGCATCATCATCTTACATTCTTCCATTCATCCACCTGAAATACCAAACTATCCTGCTATTTCATGACCTGACAGTCAAGTATTTAACAAAAGCGAGACTGCTTTGTAAAATTATAATTTGACCAAAAAGTTTCTGGCAGGAGTTTCTAGTGTGAATGAAAATTAAAAATGTACAATCATTAAGATTCAATTTTTTGTTTTTGTTTTTCCAGAGAACAGTGGACTCTATCCACCATCAGTTGAAGCCATCTTGTTGGAAATAACACCCAACCTGTTCAGTGCATCCTATACAAAATACGGCAAAAGATACTTATATTGTTACGAAGGTAGTAGGAATACCTATACAAAACCATTAACTGCTATAAGGTTAAAGTAACAAAAAACAATATCTATCAGCTCACTTAAAATGACAAGCTTTGTACCCAAATTAGTTACAGCAATTCTAAAATCACAGCGCAGACTAGTTATATCAAGAACAGTTTTTGCTGGCCATTACTTAAAAAGATAAAGAAAAGGGTAACAGTGTGGGTGAATGTTTACAATGTGCCCGTTTATGTGTTATGGTTGATGCAGTCCTCTCAATCCCACTTGCCGATGAAGGCTCAACACACGATCACTCTTACACAAACACACACACACACACATTCCAGGTACATCTCGTATTACCTGTCGACATGTACAGTGAAGCACGAGTGATCTACTTTACATTAAGGTGATCCAAGGCTCCCATACATGCTCCTGCGTGCATCCTAGTGGTCCAAGGCTCCCATGTATCCTCCCAGTGTGCATCCTAGTGGTCCAAGGCTCCCATGTATCTTCCCAGTGTGCATCCTAGTGGTCCAAGACTCCCATGTATCCTCCCAGTGTGCATCCTAGTGGTCCAAGACTCCCATGTATCCTCCCAGTGTGCATCCTAGTGGTCCAAGGCTCCCATGTACCCTCCCAGTGTGCATCCTAGTGGTCCAAGGCTCCCATGTATCCTCCCAGTGTGCATCCTAGTGGTCCAAGGCTCCCATGTACTCTCCCAGTGTGCATCCTAGTGGTCCAAGGCTCCCATGTACTCTCCCAGTGTGCATCCTAGTGGTCCAAGACTCCCATGTATCCTCCCAGTGTGCATCCTAGTGGTCCAAGGCTCCCATGTACTCTCCCAGTGTGCATCCTAGTGGTCCAAGGCACCCATATACTCTCCCAGTGTGCATCCTAGTGGTCCAAGGCTCCCATGTATCCTCCCAGTGTGCATCCTAGTGGTCCAAGGCTCCCATGTACTCTCCCAGTGTGCATCCTAGTGGTCCAAGGCTCCCATGTATCCTCCCAGTGTGCATCCTAGTGGTCCAAGGCTCCCATGTATCCTCCCAGTGTGCATCCTAGTGGTCCAAGGCTCCCATGTACCCTCCCAGTGTGCATCCTAGTGGTCCAAGGCTCCCATGTACCCTCCCAGTGTGCATCCTAGTGGTCCAAGGCTCCCATGTAACCTCCCAGTATACAATGTTGAGGTCAAAGGCTACAAGGCCACTCAACTTATCGAGTCTTCCCACGGACATTTCAGTCACTGGGTGACTTCAATCTGTTTCTAAAAACTTTATTCACTACAACTAAAAAAAAAAATACAGTAGGAATGTTACACAACTATAGTATAACTCTGTGAACACTCATTAATCAAGTGCCAAGACGAACTAACTTTGATATAAATCGAGTTTTTTTAAATTAAACTCAAAGCTAATTAATTCAATCTCCATGTAGCTACAATTATATTCCAAATTAGCATAAAACATTTTACATGTACCTTCAGATTGAAATAATTTTATGTAAATTTTTAATTTGAAAAGTTAACATGCCACAAGATATTTCATGTGTAATTACTTGTAATTACTTGTAAGTGTAATTACCTAAGTATAGTTACAGGTAGTTACATATATTAATACACTCGTGTCATATGACACTTTGAAATTACTGACGGTTTTGGCCTCCACCACCACCTCGCCTAATCTGTTCCAACTGTATACACTGTTTGCGAAAGTGAATTTTCTTATATTTTCATGGAAGCTTTGTTTAGTTAGCTTAAATCTATGACCTCTTGTGCTTAAAGAGGTCAATAGCCTGGGTTTCAAGAATTCTTCCTTATTAACGTTGTGTGTGTGTGTGTGCGCGCGCATGCAGTAATCACAAGCTCAGCACAAATTATGAAAGCCCAATTTATTGAACTGTTTAGGCTGGGGTTGGCTAACTAGTAAATAATTTGCTGTTCTATTATGACTGGTGTTGACCATTTAATATTTTATTGAACTGTTCACACTGGTGTATGCTGACTGGAGGATAAAAATAAATAGGCAAATATTCACCCAAAATGTCCCACAAGACAGTGTTTTCATTACTACAAATGTTTAACTTACTCGTTTTTTAAATTTTGTATCATACATTAATATATCACAAAAGTAAAAACTGAACCATTTTTATCATAAAAATTAGCCTACCATGAAGTTACCTTGAGGAGGCAGGACCAACCAACTCCACCAAAGGCTGACGGAAACAACCCAAAAGGCATTGGCAAACCCAGCTAATGCCCTCCCCCACCCTTCCACTGCCCTGTCAACGGGGCGAGTCGCAAAAGAGCCGGTGTGAATCGTGAGTTGCCACCCGGTGAGCAGAGTGATGAAGCAGTCACAGGAAGCCCTGGTCACTGGCTCCACTGATGGCCCACCTCAACACCATGCACAGTTCCTGCCCACCCACATTACCTCACCTATCTTGAGGTTATCTTGAGATGATTTCGGGGCTTTAGTTTTTAGTGTCCTCGCGGCCCGGTCCTCGACCAGGCCTCCACCCCCAGGAAGCAGCCCGTGACAGCTGACTAACACCTAGGTACCTATTTTACTGCTAGGTAACAGGGGCATAGGGTGAAAGAAACTCTGCCCATTGTTTCTCACTGGCGCCTGGGATCGAACCCAGGACCACAGGATCACAAGTCCAGTGTGTTGTCCGCTCGGCTAACCGGCTCCCAACCTAATACAAAGATCCTAAATAGGCTGATAAGAAAAAAGTGGTGGAGGACAAACTGAGCCACTGCATCCTCCAGAAAGTGCAGAGAAAAAGATGAGGCGGAAAAAATATGAGGGGCCGATGCAGAATCTAAAGAGAGCGCCAGCACAGCCTGTCAATGTGCAAGCCAGGCAGAGAAGAACGTGGCCACTGCATCCCGCAGAACTGGACCATATAGCTTTGGGAGAGCAGTCAACGATGCCACAGCCGAGGCCAAAACCCTCAGAAGAGAACTCCATGACTGATGACACCTAGCAGATGGCAGCTTCAGGGAGCCACAATGGGGCTCCCCCAGAAAATCCAGGCTTATGTATATATTAAACAAAGCACTAACTCATACAAATGCATTCTTACAAAATGTTAATGAAGTGTGTGGTATGCTGTCTGGGCAAACTATTGCATTCACAGATAAAAAAAACACTGTAAAATGATATTCTCATCCTCACAGTCAGGGACTGCACAAAACTCCATTACCAAAATAAAGCAGCACTTAAAGCCCAGGTGGATTGAACCCTGTTGGGCTGATGTGCAACTTTAGAAATAGATCATCACTTACTTGCAATAAATGTATACATTTATATCTCGGTCAGTTTACTGACAGGAGATAATTTTTAGGAACAGGGAAGAATATGATGAAAAATGAAAGAACAACAAGGCAATCTCATAATGAGATCATTTTCAACTTAAATCTATTTAAACAATCAAGATTGATCTATGATATTTAGATAAAATAATACAAGTCTGTGGCAATATTCATAAAACCTTTGCAGATCATTTCTTTTCTATTAGTGTAGGTGAAAATGTCTAACTAACAAACTGGTTTCTGTTTAAGAATAGCTAGCAGTTACCTGCCACAATTCACTAATATTATC